ATTTTTTAAAAAAAAAAAAAAAAAAAAAAAAAAAAAAAGAAGTGAAAGTTACTGGAATTTTAGGCAGTTCTACAGCTCCTCAATGTCCCCATCACCCAAACAGTAGAAAGCACCATGGAATCTGAAACCAGGAATCTGAAAACCCTGGTTTGGCAATGGTGGTGTATGCATGTGAGGTGGGGGGGAAGCAGGAGCCCAAAAGAGGCCAGGACCTGAGTCTACAGCTCCTGATGATGCCTTCTCACCTGCCAGAACACTGATACCTCAACTGTGTTCTATGGACTGACTGGTGGCCTGCAGGGAACTGGATGGTCACATGGAGCTGTTCTTTTTTCCAGCTCCTACATCATCACATTAAAAATACAGCTAAATACCTTCCTCACACCTCTTTTCCTGAAGTTGCCATGCTTGTTCTGTAATTAAGCAGGAAAGGAGATACAATGCAGATTGAGAACCCTTATTCTAGTCAGCCTAGCAAAATGTTTTTGGAAGGAATTATTTTGGGGGGGGGGTGAAATGTACTGTTCTTCCCATTTTAAAAAACTCAGTCCTAGCAATTGCAATTAAGGACAATTGCTGACCAGAAGGCTTAAACATTCACCTTCCTCATGAAGCTGTATTACGTACACAGGCATGCATGCGCACACACACTTTACATTAGCAAGATTATACACACACATACACACCTATTGTAACTCCGATTTGAAATATTAAATATCCTAATAAAAGCCTTGCCTAATTCCACTAAGGGTCAGCATCAAGAAAAAGAATAGAAGCACAATCTTTGTGTGTGTCCAGTGTGGATGGGTCATACTTATATGTTACCATCATTAACAGCAGAGGCAGTTAAGATAAAAGTGGAATTGTGCTACAGAACTTGTTCTCCTACTATGGCACATGCACCAAGAGTAGTTCAGAGACTCTTCTGTTTGGAGGCAGCTTTTCCTGAATAGCTCTCTTATGACAGTTAACACAAGCAAAAAAAAAAAAAAAATACAAAAAAGGGGGGCGGGCAGGGAAGAAGGACATGAAGTGTTTGGAGTTACTGAATCCAATGCTCATGCCCATGAGGCATCAATCTGATTTCATGGAATCATGACATCTCCATTATCTGGCCTAGAGGGTCCCAGGTTTTAGTCTCTCTGCTAGATGGGCCTTGGGTCCATAAACTATACTAAAATCATGATGCATCTTCTGAACCATGCAAGGCAATGGAACCAGAACCTGTGCATACAGTTACCATGTTCCCCTTTTGCCTTTCCTCCCCCCTACTAAAAGAGAGAAGGCACAGACTCACCAGTAGTCATGTTCTTATTCAACCCAAAGGTGACTTTTTTGGAACTGGAGGATTGCAGCTTGTTTAACTACAGAATAAAAACAAAGCAGAACAGGTCTGAACAACATTACATTCCTTCCTTTGCTTCCTAGGTGGGGCCCTAAACATTCCAGTTTCTTTTCCTCAATCTGATACCCTCTGCACTTGAACAGACTAGGCACTGCAGCCCTTGCTCATCTGTTGCCATATACTCTCTGCCATGAAACAATGCATTTCCTTAGAAGAATACTCTTTGATGTCTACTAGAGAGTTTGCCAAGGAGCATAAAAATTAACTTCTGCATGCTAAGAACATTGGCCCATGGCATTCCTAGCCACTGGAGTGCAAAGGGTCTTAATAAATTATAACTTTAGTAAAGTTTAGAAGAGTTACTGGGGAAGGCCCCAGCAGCTTATGTCTAAGAAGGATGTATTCAGAATCCTCCCTCTGTTACAAGTCTCTGTTTAACTAACCATTTTACACAAATGCTCAGGGGACTAAGAGTGTAGCGTGCATGTGTGTACCAGGACTACTAAAGCAGTGGTAAAATTTGGTTAAGGACACAAAGAAAGTTGTACTTTTTAGTTTATCCCACAAATAAAAAGAAGACAACAACCATAAGCCAAAGCAGCCCAAGGAACTGAGCTAAAGTTGTGAACAGTTGTCCCTAGTCTCAATCACTGCATTTGTAGCACTATACACACCCTTATAGCATATAGATGTACACCAGAGGTGGGCAAAATGCAGCCCACCAGGCCATTCTATCCATCCCACGGGGCCCCTAAAAAAATTTAGAAAATTAATATTCATCTGCCCCTGGCTGCCTGTCACGCAGCCCTTGATGGCTTGCCAAAACTCAGTAAGCAGCCCTCCGCTTGAAATAATTGCCCACCCCTGATGTACAACCTGCCTCTAGCACACCAAAAATGGTGCAAATGCTATAAAAATGTTCCTGTTTGAAACAGGTGATCTGTAGCACTATATGCAACATCTGAACATCTACATATAGCATTACAGGGGATCACTTGCTCCCTTTGCATCCCACAGTGTTCCCCCCTCCTTCCTTTTACTCCTTTCCAAGGGAAAAGGAGGAAGGGGGAAGAGAGTGGGGGGCTCCATGACTACTTGCCAGAGAGCAGAGCTGCAGACCAGCCAGTGGTGGGGACAGCTGTTGCCAGGGGTAAGGGATTAAAATCCTATTAAACTCAAATGGCTGGTAGTCTTAAGCTCATACAAACTATGAAATGATGCTGTCAAAGTTGTCAAAATGCTAGCTATAACAGTTTCTCTTTTTTGTGCACTGGGGAAGATTCTCCTTGAAACGACACTTAAACCCCCCTGGGCAATTACATCACTGACTACTGAGTGGCTCCAACATGTCCGTTTTCCTCTCGCCTGTGGTGCCAAAATTTCTATCAACATATACAGTGCTAAGTATTTGTCAGGAGCCTCTGGGCCACAACTCATCTGGATATGATAGAGCAGACTGGAACTGCCTTCTCCGTGGACACAGGCACAACCCCTAGAAACGGGGATCCCAAAACATCTTGATGTGCTGAGCCATTTTAATTCAGACTGAACTATCATGCACTGGGGCCTAAGTCCCCTCAGCAAATTGCCCCTCAGTTTTTTGAATGCAGGTAGCAATGAAGTGCCTCTCTGAGCTCTGGAAACCACAGTACAAGCAAACCCCTTGTTCTGGAATATCCAATCAAGACATATTACCTGCAGGGATGTCCTGGTAGAGGAGATACTGCCTTTGGCTTTCCTGAAGAACACTGGCTTTGGTAAAGTTGTTTTTTCAAATTTCACAAAGTCATTTCCTGTCTTTGCTTTCTTCTTCTTCAGTGGAGATAGAGCACCACCAATGTCCTGGGAGAGGAGGGTGAAAAAAATCAGCTTGGGAGGAAAGGGCAAGAGCCACCTGAGGGACGGACAGTGCAGTGGTCCTGTCACTGGTGGCCAAGTTTAAATACTGTTTCAAGTGAAAGCTAACTGGTGCTTGCCTATTAGTTCCCAGTTTATACTTGTTTCCATTACCTTCAAGCGTGCTACATTTTGAAGTATTTTGTATCTGTTCAAAAGGTGGCTCAGGGCTTACATCAAAAGTTAAATATCAAGAATGGAGGTGATCAAACTAGTAAGAGCCATGTCTGCACTGTCAAATTTGAGGTAATGCTATCATTTTTCGTAAGTACAAGGTTTCTCTACCACCTTCCATATCCAACTGAGGGCTGCTTAGATTGACACATCTGCTACAGTCAAGAAGTGAGCAACCACTGAACTCTGCTCCTTTGGTCAGACAGAAAAGGGTTACCACTGAGCAATACAAACACACTCTTCTTTCCTACAGAGGGCATATCCCAAACACATTTTTTTAGCCTGAAAAAGAACAGGAATGAAAACCAGTCCCTCTTGCAGATCACCAGCCACTAAGTTGCTGCCTTCTCCTCAGAGGCATGTTGAGCAATATCAGGCTAGACGGCAGAGGCAAAAAAAGTTTTACATTTTTGGTGACAGCTCTGTGGGGCACTAGCATCAGATCCACTAGAACAGGGATTCCCCAACTGTGGTATGTGTACCCCTAGGGGTACACAACATCTCTTGGGGGTACACAGGAGAAATTAAGTAATGGCAGATTTAGTTTTCATTATAATAATTGATATTTAAGGGGTTAAAATAAAACTTATGTTGGTAGGGGTACGTGGACAGCTGGTAAACCTGGAAGGGGGGTACACAATAAGAAAAAGTTTGGGAACCCTTGCACTAGAGATTCAAGTGAGCTTCTTCATCAAAAGAAAGCAGCAGTAAGAACTTGATAATACAGACTTTAAAAAAACATTTAAAAAGGTCACTTATTTTGTCATCTCTCCAATACTAGAAAAAGACAATTTACGTATTGGGGAAATTGAAACAAGAGCCTAGCTTGTCAGGTAGACCAACAGAACAAAATGTTGTTCTAGTAATGTTTATGCAAGCTTCTTTTAAACTGCATGGACATGACATATAATCAAAGAGCAGAAAATGGACCAAAGTCACTAGGATATGAATGGGTAAATTGAGAGGGAGGAAAGGGACAAAAAAAAGCAAAAAACCCCCCAAAAACAAAAAAAACCCACCCCCAGAAACCCCACCAACAATCCTCCGCCCTGAAACAATTCTAGTGAATATCTGCACATCCAAAACACCCCCACAAAACTGCAGGAGGAGAACAACCAAGATATCCTAGCAGACATCCTCCTCCCTCCAAGGGCATGTCTACACTGGCTATGCAGTGAACACAGGAGTGTCATTTAGCAGCATGATCCACCCATTTGCTCTTGCTCTGCATGTACCAAACCCCAGATATCAGACAGTACCACTAATTCAATGTGTTGCTGAGAATGTACCTAGCACGTCTAAGAAATCTTTTATCCTGGGAGTATATCTGGGGGGCAGACCCAAGGCTGTGCTATACTGGCTGCCCCACCTCATTTCTGGGCTTTGGTGAGCATTGAGTGGGGAGCAAGGGGGTGGGAGCATGTTTTTCAGTGGTAGTTATGAGCACATTATGAAGGCACTACCAGTAAGCCCAGACTGCCTCTATTTATCACCAAGCAAAGGCCCACCAGTCACAGAGAGTAATCAGTCTATAAAAGAACTTGTATCAGTGAGAACACTTCCAGCCCAAAATAACCTCAGCACAGGCCTGGGAACAATGTATTCCCTTTCTGAGAATTTGACCCATTCATAGAAGTAATCTTGGAAGCACCGACTGCAGTGAAGATCACCACCCTGACTGCAGCCGTGTCCAGGTGATGAACGAGGATAAATATGCATCATGAGATTGTCCCCAGAAGGTAAATATTGGCACTTGCCTTGAAAAGGAACATTTAAATAAATACAAGAAATTATCCCCTAAGACCAGACAGCTGAAAGTTAATGGGCCTGGCAGCAGTGTGGGGGGAAGGGAGGGTGGGAGGGGGAGAGAATCCAACTTGTCTGCTTACACTTGCTTTGCTTTTCTTGCAAGCAGTCTCAAGAACTCCATTGGTTTCCACAGAGTTTAACACCTCTTTTATCTTCCTCTTCTTTCTCAGGGCTGCCTTTTTCTGGTTTGAGGCCCTAATCCCTTCCAAGCTACCCAACTTTGCTTTTTTCTTCAATTTGACCTTTTTGGGCATTATGGATTCTGAGTCCTCTTTGCCTGTGAAGTTATTTAGCAAGCTCTCCTCTTCTGGTTTCATTACAACCTGCTGAGATAAACCATTTCTATTCATTAAGACAACTCCCATCTTCTTTTTCTCCAGTTTGGGAGTTACAGTGGCACAGGGGCTGGTATCCTCCAGGGCACTGGCATTAACTCCATTTTCATGTACTGATGTTCCATGAACCATCAGTAATTTGGGAGCCTTTTTCCTCAGTCTTTTTTTATTCTGCACTATGCCAGTAACAGCATCCTGTGCACACCTATCATTGTCCTCTCCAGTGCTGATTGTTCCAATGTCCATCTCATTTGCCTCTCTCTTTTTCTTTTTCCTCTTACTATTTTCTGGCATGCTGACCTCATTGGGTTCAGTGGGCTCAAGTACATCACTTATGCCCCCCTCACTACTTCCATCAGCTGTGCCAGAGTCAGCACTTGGACTATTCTTCTTTTTTCTTTTCTTCCTCTTCTTCTGGTGTCCCAAAGCATCTTCTCCCTCTGCACTTGATGTTTCTTTTCCATCCTTCTCTGTAAGATGGGAAAAGGGAATTTTAACTTAATCGGGAAATGCAAAGACAAATGTAATATTGCTATCCTAGCCCCCCCAAAAGGCTATTCTGCTGGCAACTGGCCTGGTAGTAGCTGTACAAACAAAACTTGGTGTACAGGATTTTTTTCCCCAAGCCTATGAATGCTTTGCTTGTCTTTCCTCATACTGCTGAGTTCTCTATAGTTCCCAGTGAATGCCCCTGATCTGCGTGGTAATGCATCTTGCCACCCCTCCAGGGTGCCGTCTTTCAGAGGGCTTCCTCCTGTTAAGCCTATTAAGAATCAGCTCATTTATCAGAAAATTCTGGTAGACTTTCAGAGATATTGTGGCCATTTAAGTGCAAAGATGCTAGGAACAGCTGTAAGCTTTCACAGGTAGCTCCTCTGCCCCACCCTTTTAGCCCCTGATCACCAGGGATCCTGGTTTTCCCCGATAAAAAAAAAAAAAAAAAAAT